GAATCAAGCATAGTGCTAAAAGATAGGCTTGTCTTACTGGCCAGCTTGTTTTGAGGATCGTCCCCTCCCCACTTCTACCTTCCAAGGCTTGAATTACAGGCAGGCCACTATACCCATCTAATATTTATGTGGGTTTCCTGGGATCCGAACTCTGGTCCCTGATCCACTTGTTTTAATTTGTACACTTTCTCCCTCAATGGTGGTTCTTTTTACCTGGCCTATAAGCATTTAAAAGATTTAAAATCGTCAAAGAAATACTTAACCAACAGAGCAAACAGATTAGCCTACAGAATGGCAGAATGGCAAAAAATTATCACCAATTACACTTCAAACAAAGGGCTAATATCTAGAATTTACAAAGAAGTACATAAAAGTTAGATACCAAGGAACTACAAAAGCCAATCAGCAAATGGGTAAATGAACTGAATAGACACTTCTTAAAGAAAGAAACACAAAACTGGGTGGTAGTGGTATACACCTTTAATCCCAGCACTCGGGAGGCAGAGCCAGGAGGATCTTTGTGAGTTCGAGGCCAGCCTGGTCTACAGAGTGAGATCCAGGACAGGCACCAAAACTATCCAGAGAAATCTTGTCTCGAAAAACTAAAAACGAGAGAGAGAGAGAGAGAGAGAGAGAGAGAGAGAGAGAGAGAGAGAGAGAGAGAAAGAGAAAGCAAGCAAGCAAGCAGGCAAACACAAATGGCCAATAACTATTTTTAAACTGTTTAATGTCCCTAGCCATCAGGGAAATGAAAATTTAAACTACCATCTTACCCCAGTGAGAATGGATATCATCAATAAATCTGACAAATGTTGGAGAGGATGTGGTAGGAAAGGGTTATTGGTGGAGGAGACCCATATTAGTACAGCCATTGTGGAAATCAGCTTGGAAATTTCTCAAATAATTAAAAACAGAACTACTATATAATTCTGCTATTTCACTCCTGGGAACATATACAGAACTCCACACCCTTTCATAGAGATATTTGCAACCCCCATGTTTACTGCTGATTTATTCACTAGAGCAAAGAATTGGAATCAACCTAGTTGTCAACAGATGAACAGCTAAAGAAAATTTGATTTATAAAATGAAATACTATTCAGTTCTAAAGAAAAATGTAATTACAAAATTTTAAGGAAAATAGGTAGACTTTGAATGTATTATAAAATGAGGTCACACAATCTCAGAAAGAAAAAAAAAACCATCATTCCCCTTGTATGTGGAATCCAGCCAGTAATACACAAATGAATGTATATGTGGGTACAGTATAACATGTAGAAAAGAAAAGAAGGGCTATCGGGGATAAGGAAGGACTGAGTGTAGGTAATGGATACAAGTTATGAAAAGGGATACAAAGCCAATTGCTTTCTAGTTCTAACTCTGACATGGATTTTTTTGGTTTTGGTAGCTGGATACTGCACAAAAATATCTTTGATACTGAAGTATAAAATTCAATGTGAAACTTCATAGCTTCCGTTCTGAATGGATAATCTAATTGTATACAAGTTCACTGAGTTGTATAGTCTTTTGAGTCAGGTTAACTTCGGTATATGGTATTTATTTCTTCGCAACTTATTTTTTAATAATAAAGTTGAAAATTTCTTTATTTATTCATTTGTTTATTTATTTTTGAGGCAGGGTCTCTCTATGTAGTCCTGGCTGTCCTGGAACTCACTATGTAGATCAGGCTGGCTTTGAATTCACACAGACCTCCCTGCCTCTGCCTCCCAAGTGCTGGGACTAAGGGCGTGCACTGTAACATTCTGCATAAACAAATACTTAAGCAAACAAACAAAAACCAAAACAGAAAGAAATACCATTATGTATTAATATTATGTTGTTTCTCTATGCTTGATGGAGATAACTCACCATTATCCATCCACAGTCAGTTTTCTGTCTGCCTTGGCTAAACCTCTGAAGACCGAGAGTCGCATCTGTTTATACTGTATCTAATAACACCAACTGTAACATTTTACATAGAAAACAGGCAAACCTGAACAAATCCAAGCCACTGATTTTTCTGTGAACATATGAAGCTTATTTATTCAAATGCAGTCAGATATGCTTGAACTTTATACCTCTCACTACCCTTAAAACCTTTAATTCAAAATTATTATAGCTGTTAACATTTCAGGAAATAGTGATCAACACAAATTTCCTGAATCTATAAAGTGTCAGACTTTGGTTTTATATAATATTCCAGGTTATTTTCTTTAAAATGTTAAATTTCCCCCACAAACTACAAAAAAAAAATCATAATTACTAAACCAATGAAAAAGAGAAAACAGTCTGTAGGTTCATTATATTTTAAAATGAAGACTGATACATAGGCACAAATCATCCACATAAACTATTCTTTTCTTTCCTTATCAGCATGGCACAAATGCTGCCCGTCTTTGCCTTTTTCTTTCTTCGAGGCAAGGTCTTGTTGTGTAGCCTAGACTGGGCTCCAACTCATGGCAACCTCTCACCTGGTTTTCCAACTGCTGGTTTATAGGCATGACCTATCACACTCCACTTTAGAAAAAAAAACAAAACTAATTTTATTTCTAATGTACCAAACACGATAATCTAATATATAAAAGAGAACTCAAATATATGTCTGTATTTCTAAACTAACAAATTAACACCAGCAGGGAGTGCTAAGAACATAGCAGCAGACCTTAATTAACATTGAGAAATTGATGAAGTGTGCAATTCTGAAGTGAATGTAAGGGTCCACAAAAATGGAAGCCGTCGTGTCTATGAAAGCAGTGCAGACTGCAGTGGTAAACAGGAAGTGAGCTGCCATGCCTCACAGGGTGGTAGCCAGCTCTATTTGATCTAGCGAGATGTTACTGTATTAGCAGGGACCTTACAGGAAAGCAATTAACTTTCTTTCTTTGGAAAGAGACTATTAACCACTACTACTAGTGATGGAAAAGCAAACAGGTCTAGGAAAGTGTGTTACTGGCCTTTAAAAGTATCTTTCGGGAGTATGTCACACTCCTTTGGTCCCAGCACTCTTGAGGCAGGGCACCAGGATCCCTGGGAGGTTCAAGGCCAGCCTGGTTTTTTACATAAAGTGTTCCAGGCCAGCTAGGGCTACATAAGACATTGTTTCTACAAAAACAAATAAAAACACCAAAACACAAAAAAGTAACATGTGAATTGATTATTCTCAGCTCTAGGAAAAGAAGTCTGTTACACATTCCATATTGCCACAAAGCAAGAAATTCACAAATTGTTCAACAAGTGCTCCAGGCAGAATTTATCTTAAATAGTTCTATATATGACTTTAGGTTTGGACATAAACAATGTGTTACTTAAAATTTTCAATTTTATATATTATAGTTGATGAGAAAAATCTTATACAGGGTCCAAATCCTAAACTTGCTTTTATTTCCTCTCTGGTTTTATATTTCAACTTCCTATTCCTTGAAATAATATCTACCTGGCATAAGAATTTAATTGGAATCAGGTAATATGCACAGCACTAAAGATTTTAAAAAGCACAACAAAGGTCATAAATAAATAGTTAGGAATTGTGGTATTAAAAGTAAATATAGAGATTCCCGGGGGGTCTTTTCAGTGGATCTTTTCAGCATTCTGTAATCATTCTGAGCCTATTTCTCATCCCTTAGAGAAATTTGGAAGCTATTCTTTAGGTGTGGGAGTTTTACCCACGTTTCTCTTGCCTCTTCATAGATCTGACTGCCTACTTACTCTTGGCAAACAAGTCCCACTCCTTTGGCAACGACACTCACATCAGCATAAGTTAGTGCTACAAGATAAAGGAAGAAGGGGCCCAAACTGGGAACTGAAACAAGGAGGCTGGGTGGTAACTTGGCCAGAAAGCGATGCTGCTCTTCCTCGTCTTGGGTAGTCTATTTGGCTAGCCTCAACAAGAGAAGCGGGAGCATATTAAATATGACAAAGACAACATGAAAGCCCCAGCTCAGTCTCCCAGAGAAGTACCTGTTTTTCAGAGGTGAAGAGGCTAACAAACCACTCCAACTACAGGGCAGTTTACAAGGAGACAGGTGCAGACACAAGACTTCTTTTGGGTCAACCCAGTCTTCTACTGTAATAAAAAAGGTTCTATCTATGATTGGAAGCAGTGGAAACAAAGTTTCCAGAGTGACTGTCCTTCTTACCACCTCCTGTAGTAGTTAGGCATATTTTGAAATAATAGAGGAAACCTTCTCTCTTACGTGAAAAACCTACTTTACTTTACAATGACTTTCTACAACTCCTTGCCCACAATTCCCTTAATACTTTTACGTTTTGCCTCTACCAGAAACTGGGGAAATCCTTGTATCATATCTGTCAGATGACAGAGTTATATTGTCAAATGTACTATGAGCTGATTGACTTACAAGGATGGGCTGAGGAGACAAGTTGTACTTTTTTTAATAAATGTACCTTTCTTTCAAAGGGCTTTCAGTTTTTTCATTTATATGATACTTAGTTTTCTCCTGATAAAAAGTTTGATCAAGAATAAATTTTATTAAAATGAAAGGATGTATTAGATGTGTCTATAACTCTTCACTGACACCACTGTAACTTTAGTATAATTTATTTATACCAAATGCATGGTGGATAGCATCTACTATTCTGATTATAACTATAATCAAGACACTTCACATATATTCTCACTCAGTACTCATGATGACCCATAAATATCCCTAGTGAATAAATTAAGTCTCAAAAGGATGGAGGAAGTTGCCTAAAGTCACACAATTATTATGTGGCAAATCCATAATTCAGACCCAGGTTTACCTGTCCCATAACTACTCTATAGTTTCTGATGGATGGAATCAGGTAAGTGAAGCACTCCTCAGAGGAGTTAGATGATGTTAAACAAACAGAATCCCAGTCCCTACAAGTACTAAGTCCTACTGGACAAGCAAGGACACACATGTCTCTGTCCCTGTCAAGTGTGTGACAGGTTAGTGTACAGTCCCTTGTGTTAGCTCTCGGAGAGCAATGTAAAGGATGGAGAGAGAACGCTTCCTTACCAGTGCTGCCATCTCCACTCTCCATAGATGACTTAGTGGTTTCTGACGGATTGTTCATTCTTGAATCTACAATAAGCCAGAGGTGGAGAAGGTGGTTAAAACAGGTAGTGGTGAAGATGAAGCTAGCTCAGGAGCCAAAAGCAGAGCAAAAGCCAGGGTTGACCAACGTTACCCTGGTTCACTTCGAGAAGCCCATGTACAGCGGACGGCATGCTACAACAACACAAACTGAGTAAAAGGCTACCTCAAAGATAGTCAGGAGCTCCTGAATCATAAAGGAACCCATAAGTAAATTATCTAACAAATTTTAAGATTCTTTAAAGAGAGAACTCTAAGCTGAAAAAGATACTACAGTCAGACATGCTAAAAATAATTTATGACAGACAAATGTAATATACATTTAAAATAAACTGGGAAGAAGTAGCAAACACCTCAAAAAAAAAAAAGAACTATTATTCCCATATGATTTTTTTTCTAAAAGCAAAAATATTAATTAATTATAACTAAAAGAAATTCACACTTAATAATAATCTAACAGATGAAAAGAAACTTGTCTGAAGCATCCATCTGACTTCCTTAACCAAACTAGAGTCAACATAGGGGTATGCCAAATACATGCCTCATTAAAAACAAGCGTAACAAATTGCAGCAGAAGGCATAACAGCAATCTCTATAGTTCTTCAAGAACTATGGAACCCAGTTACACACGAATCTGCTAATTTGGGGCTATTCCTTTTTTAGTGTATTAAATTGTAGTTTCCACAGTGAAATGTTGTCAACCACTATTAGCAATTCCAGAAAACATGCAAGAAATAAGACAGGAACACCTATGCCCTACTTCTTTATCCAGGGGGTGAACAGAATAGACAAAACAGACATTTTGCTCTATATTTACTACAGACTTAGAGTATTTGCCATGAAATAAGCTTAATGTCAAGTAAATTCTACTTTTCCTCCCTCATTAAGAACCATTAACTAAGTTATTATTAGAGAACGAATCAAACTATATTATACTGTCTTTCTAAAGACATCTGCAGGAAATTTTTTTTTTTTTTTTTTGAGCTGAGGATCGAACCCAGGGCCTTGCGCTTGCTAGGCCAAGTGCTCTACCACTGAGCTAAATCCCCAACTCGGAAATTTTTAAATAGGAAGTCAAAACAATCATTCTAAGTCCCAACCATGCTGTCAATAGTTGCATTACCTATATGTATAAGAAATGAGGAAAAATATCAGAAATCTTTCTTTCATATTTTATAACCTAGAAAATGGGCAATATGTATTTTTTAAAGATACTAGGCAATCTCTTTTCTAATATAGTATATTTTTATAACCGATACATGTCTTCTGGGCTGAGGTGGTTCTATGGTATTCCTGGCTTGTTCAAAGGGTTAAAATTTCTATGTTTGTGGTCATAAATGAGGTCGTTCTACAACTTCCTCCTCTACTGTCCAAAAAAATTTAAATACCACCTGAAAGCACACTAAAGTTTGAAAGGACCAGGTGTACAACTTAGTAAAAATTAGCTTTCTGTTTGACTTAACCAAAATCTTACAAAATTTAACAAATATCACAAAACTCAAATGTCACTATATACACGCTCAGTGCTTCCTTTATAATGTATTTTAAAGCCAAGTAGAAAAAAAATAATGAACCTGTAAACATGTATAAAAAGTTAATAATCCTCATGTCCAGATGCCACAGTAACCAAGAAGCCTAATTCTTAATAACTCATGAGACAAGCCTTACATAATTCATAGCTAATTTCCACACCTATTTATAAATTTAAAAATTATGTCACAGGTATTTTACATGACTTTCCTAAGGACCTTCTATTTATTGTCAAGATCTTCAAAAGTATGTAACAAAATGGCTTCAAACACGAAACAGAACAAATAAAATCCTACTTAGCTACACAATGATGAGAAGGCTGTTTCAGTAATACTTAGTGTCAACTCTAAGTAGTAGATACAGTTTCTGAAATGAATGGTAAAAATAGTTCAAAACGACACTTTTCTTTCATTTCTTGAATTTCAAACTTGGTACATGCAAAAGAGAAAATACAAATAAATTATTCATTGATACTTACAGTTTTTTGGGGTGAGGGGTAATGAAAAGAGCACAAGTCTATGTCACTTAGCTGATCCTCTAATGAGTCTAATTGAACTCCTAAAGTTACTACTGGACTGAACTCCTACCTAACATCAATGTTTTGTCTGTGTCATGTGTATCCCTGAGCTGGTAGTCTGATGGACAAGTGTTACTGCTAACTTGCGTTGGACCCTTCTTTCTGTATAAGAATTCAGACATTTCTGGGAAGGATCAATTTACTTTATCATTAACAACTGCTTTAATTTCAAGAATGGAAAATGACACAGGAAATAAAATCATTTGCAAAAGTTTTAAGCTTAAGATATTCAATTCTTGGAGTTTATATCAGATGACTTTCTTAAAAAGGCTTCAATCTTTCTTCATGCAAACATAAAAAAACTCGCAAAATACGGCCACCAAGAGGCATCATCTATCTATCCACACCAAAGTACTTCAATCCATCTTTTATCACCGAAAATGTTTCATTTATTCAAGCAGAACATCTCCCTTTCCAAAAGGCTTCCTGCTCTGTAGGGACACACTATATAACAGGCTTTCCACAATATTAAAAGTGCAGATTCCTAAAAAAGAGATGGTTTTAAAAAATCAAAATGACTAATCATAGGCAAAATTTGAAAATGGCCCATAACTTCTAATATCTAGAAACTGATTAACAGTACAGTAACCACTATAATTTCCCTCTGTAATTATAGTAACGGTATTAATCTGCACTACAACACCACCTTAATTTTTCATTTAGTATTTTTGGTTTTATGAGGCATTCTTATTAGATAGGCAAAACATTTTATTAGTATGTATATATCTCTGATATAGTTATATTTTCTGATTTAAAATGTGTTTTCAACTACATATACTACTTTCTATAGAAATCTCCAAAAAAGCAAAAATGTCCTCCATGAAAGCCAAATTCAAACACATTATTTGCTGAAAATAGGCTCTGAACTAGAAGACCTAGTCCTAGGGAGGGACCTCCAGCAAACTCAAGCATGCTCTTGCCTTGCAAATGCTTTCCTCCTCCTCTGCTCAAGCCCCCCTCCCCCATGATGGCTGCATATGTGATTGAGCGTTTATGCATAGTCAATCCCACACATGCTATTTCCATATTAAAGCTGTAAGAAAACTGTGCTGGTACCCACCTAGAACACAGTCACTGCAGTCCAGCATTGCTGTAAAATCTTCAGGAGGTGCAGACAATCCAAAGCAAGAAGGAACAGGTATGGTTTGGGGTGGGGAAAGAAGGTACTACTATTCTAACAAATCTGTACTAGGTTCTTAAGAGAACAGGGTGGGGGAGTGGAAAGTGAATTAACAGAGAAGCAAACACAACCTCAGTTACACCATAGCAATCTTCAACTGAATAAGGAAACTTCAGTTGCTCAGAGGAGTTTTAGTCTCTTCTAGCAGCTAGGACTGACATTGTCAAGGCAACTGAAGCATGAAAAGTTCCCCTTTTTGTAATAAAATAGAAACAAAGATTGCAGCTGGCAGTTTCCATAATGAAGCTTAATCAGTATGCGTGTGATTAGGGCCTTATGCAAATCTCTCCTCGTTAGCACAGCAGCTAGCACTTTGAAGTCCAGGAACAATTCATTTACAGAATACACTGAAAGCACTCCCTGCATAATTTAAATGAATATATAAATATTTATCAGCTTATTTGCATATTAATTGGCAGTGCATGAAGGGAAAAATTATCTCCGGAGTGCCAGCATAATAATTAGGAGGATAAAATGAGATTTCTTCCAATGGTCTGGCATCTTGGACCCAACTTGAGATAGTACCAGGGGAGAAGGGAGGGACAGGAGACAGAGTTCTGTTAAAATGCCACTGAAATGACATGAACAAATTAGAAACAACTCTACAGACTTAAGCACCTTTAATCTTATTCCTGCTGGCAACAATGACTTCAGTAATAAGAGGATTTGCAAAGGGCTTTCTACACAATCCAAATAATCCCAAGGAAACAATTAGCAAGGTAGAAGCAGAACACAGGCTTGTCAAGATGGTGCTAGTCTACTGATAGGAAATTTTCCAGTTATTAACACACACTGTCGGGAGAAAGGCTACTTAAAACACGACAACAATATAAATGCAAAAGCAGGGGAGAGTGTCCACAAGCATCTCTGAAAGCAGATATTCATTATATAGGAACCTTTCTAAACTACCAAATTACCAGCACATTAGCTGACTGCTGACATGCAACATGCTCCCATCAAAATCAAACTCAAGGGGAAGATAGTTTGTTACTTAGAATAGACATCATTCTCAAATGGCCATGTAACTGCAGAATTAGTATTTTTAAGCAATACCACTTAATGGACCTCTTTCTCTATGTGTGACTTTCTGTACTTATATCCTTACTAAACATGTTTATTAAAGTTTGAAATTAAGTCACAACCTTTCAGATATCATTATAAAAAATCTGGGAGATTTATAAAAACACTGCAAAGTAGGGATTGTTAAATTCTTAGGAATAAAGAAACCAAGACAAAGAAAACTAAAGCACTTTTTACTCAATGGCACATTAATAACTTGGAGCCAGGATTTCAATCTAGATTTTGCTGACATCAAGATACAAGTTCTTTTTAAGACCTACACATTAAGGATGAGTCACACATTCAGAGAACTCAAGGGTAGGGAGAGAGAGGAAGGGAGAGGGGGTGGAGACTAAAGCAGAAGACTATAAAATGGCTTGTCTCAGTCCTGAAGGAGACCAATAATTGGTAGCAAAGACACTGTGTTTAAGTGCATACAAATAATACACTAGATAAAAGTTGAGTTCTTAAGGGTACCCACTCATTAATAACCTGTTTTTATTTGTCACTAATCTTCAAGCATGCTAGATGTCTGATTTTTAAAATGCTATGAAATAAAGATGTATGTAATATACTGGGTATTACTGTCAGTATTTGTCCAGTGTTGTATTACACAACTTCACTACAGCCTTGGTTCTGAACATACAATATGAACATTATGTACTGCACATACTGTCATACTACCCAGTGTCAACCAATGCTACTTGAGACACCTCAGCTCAGATTCAAGATTAATGTGTTATAATGTACAGTATGTACTTACAACTGTACTTGCAAAGTTTTCAGCTCTTACAGAAATATGTAAGACTTAGTATTTTCCTATCAGTACATAAGAATCAAATTACAGCATCTTTGGGCTGGAGAGACAGCTCAGCAGTGTGTGCTGCTCTATGTAGCAAAGGGGCCAGGTTCAGTTTCCAGAACCTACATCAGGTAGCTCATAATTATCTGTAATTCCAATTTCAGAGGCCCTCTTCTGGCCTTCTTAGGCACCTGCACACACATGGTGTATATAAATTTATGCAAACACATATATACACATTAAAAAAAAACTTTAAAAAAGAATACTGTATCTTTTTATTGTATTAAGAATGTTTGATTTTAAGAATGTCTATGAATTGATGATCTCAGTTTCATAAAAAATTATTAAATGAATTTTGGCTTGGTATTAGAACATTATTTCCAACAAATATCTGAAATGTACCTAAGCCTATTTCTGCCATTTTACACAATATACTTATGTGAAGTGGCATTCTCAACTCTGTTGATCATAAAAATAAAAATATTGGTCAAACCTGAAAAATGTTGAAAAGCACTATATTTTGCAGTATCACATATTCAGCCAAGACTTCTATATAAAACAAATAAGCAGGTACATCTTATTAGTATGCAAATTTATATTAATCTTTAGCATGGCAAAATATACACATATCAAGAAAGTATTTTAAAATAATATTTCAATCAATTTTGATTTGTATACCTATTTTATGCATTTATATACCCATGGTGCCCGAAAACTTAGGTCAAAGGGATCAACAGCAGAAAGTCTTAGAAGCTCTATCTAACCTGGAGCAGAAACAGGAATAAGAGACCCTATAATCCAGAAGGACATGGAGTCATCTGATAAACAACACATCTTTAAAAGTACCAATTATATTGAGTAATAAGTCATACCACTGTGTATTAAAATATGGTATAGGATGCTAGTTCCAAATTAGTTTTTAAGATACAATGTGTTGGACTGGACAAGTTCTGCTTGGTGGGAAAAGATGGGAAGCAATGAATGCCAAAATGGACCTAAACTTACTTCTGGTGAAGTAGTTATTTGACTAGAATACACTTGATATTGATAAAGTATTTCATTCCCTCCTTTTCTGTACTCACAAAATTTTGTTTTCCCTTATAGAATACTTCTGCAATTTTCCCTTTTCAAAAAAAAAAAATACCCTACACAAGAATGTCATTAAGATATCGTTTCCTCGCTAATTTGGTCTTCTGTATTCAAGCAGGCAAGACCTGGGGTAATAGACAAGCAGTAACTGTTTACTGCACTGAGACAGTGTGAGTAGTATCTGCCTTAGGCCAAGACAACTCCAAGATTCCCCTGTAGAGAATGAAGGTTATAGCTCACCAGGTTGGATCCTATTCCCTTCTACGACAAATCTCACCTAGGCAGGTGACTAGACTTCAGTATAAAGGGCAATAAAAAGCAGCCCTTTTGGTCACTATTGAAGTAGGCACTCTGAGAGCTCTTGAGAACAGGTTTAAATACTCAAAGAATGTTCTGGGTTTCTACAAATAGAGGCAGAGAATGAGAAGAAACATCCATCCCTCATACTCCCCAACCATGGACAATTTATAGCCAAAAGAAAAGTCAGATAACTTCCACCAGAGTCAAATGCACACACTATTTGCTCTTCATATATATCAACTAAGAACCTCCAAGTTTAAAACTGAAGCAAAAAAGAACACCTTAGGAAAAAAAATCCATAAGATCATGAATTAATTCAATCAAATCTCTTTTTAATACCTGGGTTAGGATTTGATTAGTGGCCTATAGATGCCTTTAGAGAAGAGGCCAATAAATACTTCAATAATTAACAACTCTTTTTTAGATGAGCTGGACTGGAGACATGAGATGGGGGAACAGGTTTTATGGAAAGGACAGAGAATAATATTAAATGATAGCATAACACAGAGCTGAAAAGGGCAACGTTTCAAATTATATATTTCAAAATTATGTATGTGGTGGTTCGAATGAGAATGGGCTTATATATTTGAATGCTTGATCCCCAGTGAGTAGAACTGTTTGGGAAGGATTAGGAGGTGTGACATTGTTGGAGCCTGAACGTGAAAAGTATCCTACAAGATTATGTGTTTAAACACTTTGTCCCCAGATGGTGGCACTATTTGGAAAGGCTATGAAACATTTAGAGGGTGGAGATTTGTTAGACATGTGCCACAGGGTAGGAGGCTTTGTGCTTTTATAGTCAAACCCTACATCTTGTTCTTACTCTGCTTCCTGACTGCTGGGTAACCTCAAGCTCCTGCCATCAGGCTTGCCTTGCCATGGATGGACTATCCATCCCCTCACCCCACCCCAGAACTGTAAGCCAATTAAGTTGCTTTAGTCAGGGCACAGTAATCACAGAAATAGAAAAGAAACTAACACAATGCCTAATATTTGTTCCCTTTTTTTCCTAAAAGGAGAGAAGAATTTTCATGATTCAAAATTCACATCTAACATGACTGCAAAATAACATCATGCTTAAGAGCAAAGTTTTAGGCTAGTCTAAGTGTCATCAGAAAAGAAATTAAAAGCAATACTAACCAAATTATAATTTACATTTTAAATAAACTTTGTCTATGTGAGTGAATTAAAGTTATGTTGGGTTCTTCCTGACTAAATCATTCATGATTAACTGTTCATGTTCTAGAGAAACCATCAATAATAGAGAGCTTCCACCAACATGAAACTATCATTTTTTTAATTAAAAATAAATAATAATAGAGGATTCAAATGAACCAAAGGTAGAGCCAATCTGGATAGTTTAACATTTGCCATAAAATAATAAACACTTTTTTTTCTTCATAATTCAGCCCGAGAACAAGGCAGGCATCTGAACTTAGTCAAGAGGAGAGTTGTAATCAGGAAACTGGTTACATACAGGAAGGTTAATCTAATAAATAACTGAGCTAAGTTTATCACTGTTAGAAAAGAGAATTTAAATCCTGAAAACAGGAATAAAACAAAATGAACTTTAAAGTACTGAATTAGTATTAGAGTCTGGAGAGATGGCTTAATGGTTAAGAACAAATGCTGATCTTGCATAAACCCAGGTTCAGTTCTCAGCACTCACAATCACTTGTTTCTGGGGGCCCAATGACCTTTGTACAGGCCTTCATAGCCACTAGACAAGCACATGGTGCACACACATAATGCAGGCAAAAACATTCACACACATAAAAATAAATCTTAAAAAATAATAGATATAAAAATAAGTATAACTTTAATACCTTCCCCCCTCTTTTTTTTAGGCACATGGAAGAGAACTGAAGACATATGAATATCCGGACATTTTTTTTCATGTCACTACCATCTAGAGCAGTGGTTCTCAACCTTCTTAAAGCTTCGACCCTTTAATACAGCTCCTCATGTTGTGCTGACCTCCAACCATAAAGTTATTCCGTTGCTACTTCGTAACTGTAGTTTTGCTACTGTTATGAATCCTAATGTAAATATCTTATGATACCTGTAGGGGCCATGGCCCACAGGTTGAGAACTACTGATCTAAAGAGAATCCAGGGTTCCAAAGAAACTAGCTGAAATGTTTCAACTTTATACTCTGGAGATGCAGTTCAATGGTAATTGCCTAACATAAGCAAATCCCTGCACTGGGAAGAAAAAAAAAGTGAAAGTGAAACAAAAAAAAACAAACAAACAAACAAAACACCAACTTAAAAGATTCCTCACCAAATTCTGCATAATTTGGACAAAGTAAATAAAAATGATAATGAATGAGGGGCTGGAGAGATAGATCAGTGGTTAAGAGCACTGGCTACTCCAGCAGCCACATGAGGGCTCACAACCATCCATAACTCCAGTTCAGGGGACCCAAGACTGAAGGCACTAAGCATACACACAGTGCACAGACATACATGCAGGCAAAATAACCATATTCATAAGCTAAAGCAACAATAGTAAATGAAATATAACTGTTATTAAATTATTAAGACTTCATGAGTACTTGCTGACACAAACAGGTCAGCAAACTGTCATACACTGGTACTTTTATGCTAGTGAAGCTTTGCTTTTCCAAACTCTCAAAACTCCCTAATCATAGAAAGTGTTTATATTAGCACGATGAGAGTAGAAATCTAGAGAGTCATGAAATACACAGATAACCTACTGTCGTAGTGTACTTATAATCATTTATACAGTATTCTGAGGGGCTTTTCAGTATCTTATGAAACAGAAGTCTACATTGGACCCTCTGTTTTATTAGTGAAAGCTCAGACCTAAGTGTGAGTTTTAGCTTTCCACAGTTTGGACCACTGTTTATTTACTGTCTGAAGAAAGACTTATTGAAAACTACTATAGCCCTAAATTTTATTATATGTAATAAACAGTTAATTTAAAATAAAATCTCACTAGACATAATATTAGAAAATTAATTATAAGTGTGGTATTTTAGATGTATTATCATACTATTTTAAAAAATACTATTTATTAGCCAGGTGGTGGTGGTGGTGGTGGTGGTGGTGGTGGTGGTGGTGGTGGTGCACACCTTTAATCCCAGCACTCGGGAGGAAGAGGCAGGTGGATCTCTGTGAGTTCAAAGCCAGCCTGGTCTCCAGAGCGAGTTCTAGGACAGGCTCCAAAGCTACACAAAGAAACCCTGCCTCGAGAAAAACAATAAACAAACAAACAAACAAACAAATACATTACTGGTGCTATAATGTGGTATTCTAAACTGTCCTACTTATGAAACAGACTCACTGAACAGGACAGCTTTTGGGGTTGGTGTGGTCTCTTTGCCAGCCTAGCTAGGCCTACATGCAAGCAAACCTGTCTAAAGGACCTGCAGTTGGCATTATCTTAGTACCACCTACTCCTGTGCGGGTGTCTTTAGGCATGGAAAAGTAGAATTGTCACTGACCAGGGTTACTGAACTACAACAGGCTATCTGTGTTGCTTTTACTGACAGAGTGATTAATCAGGGATGCTGTGAAGAACTGGGTTGTGATGAACCCCACCAACACAGTTTTAAACACCAAACATCTGATTGGGTGTAGGTCTGATGATGTTGTTGCTCACTCTGATATGAAGCATTGGCCCTTCATGGTCATGAAAGATGCAGGTAAATCCAATGTCCAAGAAGAACACAAAGGGGAGACAAAAAGCTTCGACCCAGAGGAGGTATGCTCTATGGTTCTGATGAAGATGAAGAAAATTAGAGAAGCCTATCTTCAGAAAACTGTTACCAATGTTGTGATCACAGTGCCAGCTTATTTCAATGATTCTCGGCAGTAGGCAACAAAAGATGCTGGAACTGTCGCTGGCCTCAATGTACTTAGAATTATCAATGAACCAAATACTGCTAATTCTTATTGCTTAGATAGGAAGGCTGAAGTTGAAAGAAATGTGCTGATTTTTATTTGAGAGGTGATACTTCTGATAGGATGTCAGTCCTTACTTCTGAGGTCTAATCTACAGCTAGAAATCCCCACTTGGAGAGAGAAGACTGACAGCTGCATGGTCAACCATTTTATTGTCAGTTTAAATGCAAGCACCAGGACATCGGTAAAAACAAGAAAGGTGTCTATTGTCTGGTTACTGCTTGCAAACAGGTGCATACCTTCTCCTTTAGCACCTAGGCCAGTAATGACATTGAATGACAGAATCGATTTCTATATCTCTGTTACCCATGCTCAATTTGAAGAATTGAATGCTGATCTGTTCTGTGGCACTCTGGACCCTGTGGAAAAGGCCCTTTGAGATGCCAAATTAGACAAGTCACAGGTCCATGACATCATCCTGGTGGATGGTTCTACCAGAATTTCCAAGATTCAGAAGCTTTGCCAAGATGTCTTCAGTGGAAAAGAACTGAATACAAGCATTAACTCTGATAAAGCTGTTGCTTTACAGGGCAGGTCTCCAGGCAGCTACCCGAAATCAACTCTATCTGGAGATAATCCTAAGAATGTTCAGGATTTGCTGCTCTTGGATGTCACTCCTCTTCCCCTTGGTATTGAAACTGCTGGTAGAGCATGAATGTCCTCATCAAGCACAGTATTATCATTCCTACCAATCAGACACAGACCTTCACAACCTGCCTAACAGCCAGCAGGTGTGCTCATTCCGATATGTGAAGGTGAAAGAGCCATGACCAAGGACAACAACCTGCTTGGAAAATTTGAACTCACAGGCATATCTTCTGTAGCCTGCAGTATTTCTCAGATCACAGTCACTTGACATTGATGCCAATGGCATCCTCAATGTTTATACTGTAGATAAGAGCACAAGAAAGGAGAACAAGATCACCATCACTGATGGCAAGGGCTCCTTGAGCAAGTAAGATAGTAAGTGCATGGTCCAGGAAACTTAGAAGTACAACACTGAAGAGGAAAAGCAGAGAGATAAAGTAGTACTCAAGAATTCACTGGAATCCTATGCATTCAACATGAGCGCAACAGCTGAAGATGAGAAACTTCAAGGCAGTGTCAATGAAGACAAAGAGAAGATTCTAGACAAGTGTAATGAAATCATCAACTGGCTAGATAATAATCAGACTGCAGAGAAGGAAGGAGCTGAACATTGGCAGAAAGAACTGGAGAAAGTCTGCCTGCAATCCCATCATTACCAAGCTGTACTAGAGGGCTGGTGGCATGCCAGGTGGAACGCCTGGGGGCTTCCCTGGTGCGAGAGCACCTCCCTCTGGCAGTGCTTCTTCAGGGCCACCACGGAAAAGGTTAAGTCAGTCCAGTATAGATGTAGCATTGTTCCAAAGAGAAACATGGGAAGGACCCAAATTTAGCAAGTTCTGTGGCAGTTTTCAAGTTAGAGCTGTTACAGTATTTTTTTTTTTTTTTACATTCTCAAAATTTGACCACGAAACATGTGCACAGGAAGAAATAACATTACACTTTATAAACACTGCATCTTAAGTGGAAATGCAACGCCTTAAATAAAGCTATATAAAATGGGTAGGGGTAGAGAGGAAACTCTGAATGAAGGGCTCTGGATCTTATTTGTGCCAGCAAACGTGACCTAATTTAGAAACAGGGCCTTTGACAACGATCATATTAAGATGAAGTGACTGGGTTGGAAATGGTCAAGAGCTTGCCTAGAATAGATGAACTCAGCAGTGTACCAAAACCAACCAAACAAAAAGATGAAGTCATTAGTGCTGTTGTCCTTAAAAGGGGGAAATTTGGACAGAAATAGAACAAAAGGAAAGTAATAGAGACACAGACAGATTCCTTCTCACAGCCCTCAGAAGAAACAAACCCTGATAGCACCTTATATTGAACTTACAACCTCTAGAACTATGAGGCATTAAGTTCCTGCTGTTTAAGCTGCTGCATTTATGGTATTCTGTTACGGCATCCATAGAAAACTAACACAGCTTCTGAACTTCATACTTGCTTATTTGAAAAATGGGGTTTGTGGTCTAAGGGCATTTTTAAAATGAGAATGTTATTTTAAAATAACCAGGGCTCATGAAAAATAATTTTGGTATTATTATAATCTCTTGATAAATATTCAATAAATGCTGTCAAGATTCTTCTCCTAATGCAGGGGAAAAAATGTAAGTGGATACTCTTGAATATTTCTATCTTTTAACTAGACATTAATCATAAGCCAGAGAACATGTTTGTTGTACATGGTAAAGTCTTAAGACTGCTAAGACTACTGAAACACATTTGAAGAACAAGGTGCTTTTTCTTTTCTTCATGTTTTAATCCTGAAATAATAATCTCTTTGGAAGACTTAAATTGGAAACAAAGACAAAGAAATCTCTCTGTCCAGGTGGGTGCTATATGAGAATCCCTGGAAGATAAAATTCGGAGTATTACAACAATCAACAGATAATTGGGAGTTACCAAAAACTGATTAAGAATGTAACTTGATCATCCAAACAAAAGGGTCATATATCTTTTTCCCTATTTCTTCTACTCTTATACTTCTTATGCATATTAGAAATGTCATCAGCAAACAGGCACATTAATGCTCTCAAGCGTTTGTATAAACATTTCAAAGAAATATACAAAACAAGTCAGTGAAGAGCTGTGAACAGTGTTGTTAGTATAGGTGAAGTATTTTACGAAGATTTCATGAAACTAGTGTCTGCTCTATTCCTATATAATCTAAGTTTTAACAAAAAGGAAAACCCACATGAAATGTTACTATAAATTTTTTATACTCTAGACATATTACTTCATATTTAAGGAAATTGAAAAAAGTAAATATATATATAGCTGGGCAGTGGTGGCACACACCTTTAATTTTAATCCCAGCACTCGGGAGGCAGAGGCAGGTGGATCTCTGTGAGTTCGAGGCCAGCCTGGTCTACAGAGTAAGATCCAGGACAGGCACCAAAACTACATAGAGAAACCCTGTCTCAAAAGAAATAAAATCATAAGTCTGTTTCAGTTCTCTACTACTTAGCTGAATTTCTTTAAGCAAGTTACTTGTTATCTCTAATCTTAGATCATTAAGGATATAATATTTTAGTCATTATATAAATGCTTCTTATAGACTAACAACTATAGTCACAAAGTGTTTCTGCTAAACTACCATCAGGGATTATTGCTACTATTTTTTATTATTATTATTATTATTATTATTATTATTATTATTATTATTATTTTTGTTTTGTTTTTTTTAGACAGGGTTTCTCTATGTAGCTTTTCCTGGAACTCATTCTGTAGCCCAGGCTGACCTCGAACTCACAGAGATCCGCCTGCCTCTGCCTCCCGAGTGCTGGGATAAAAGGCGTGTACCACCACTGCCCGGCATACTGTTTTATTATTATAAAATACAGATGATATACTGAATGCTGAAGCTAATTTGACTCTATTTCCATTGATTGCTAGGTCAAAGGCATCTCAATCATCACTCCATCACATCAACAAATCTTAAACAGATTTCAGAGTTAAAATGAAAACTTATGTATTTGATAAGCCATTTTAATAGTCAATCCATAAAATAAAAGGCAATTACCACAACACCTGGGTTTATCAGTGGCTACTAAATTAATAGTTTGATTTAATAGAAAATATTTATTAGGTATGGAGAGACTGCATTCTTTCTTTGCATTGATTCACTGAAAGCTGAAAGTAGTTTGGTAGTTATAAAGACAGGAATGCTCTTCTTACTTTTGCAGTCTAATACTACAAAAAGAATTAACCGAATAAAATAACCTAACACCTTAAAGGGATAAAAATCACATAAAATGGGGAAGTCTAGATTAGTTATCAGGACATATTTAGCTCTCTTAGGTTGTCATCTCCTGTGTGCCCAATTCCTCCTTAACAAAACAAATTTTACAATACTCCCTTACTGAAGGAACAAGGAAGTTAAAGAGAGTTTGTGAAGCATGTATTTTAAGGTACCATTATTTCATGACTCTTGATAAAAACTGCCTAAATATTTTCTTTAGTGGGTACATTCCTCTAACAACCCACTTTCAATCTTAGTATTTACCTCCTCCAAATTCTAAGTATCAGATCGTGTAAGAAATACACTATAGATAGGTCAATGGAGGTTTTTCTTATTAATTGCAAAATAGTTTTAAAATATAAGATGACATTTTGCATTTAGAAAATGGGAAAGATCAGTATTTGGTACACACAGTGTACGAATTCTGCATCACTGGTTGACTATCATATATTGTCTTTAAAAAGTCTCAAGAATCTTGACCAGCAGAGAGCACTAACAGCCTCACACAACAAAAGAATCAGTACAGGCATTGACTTTCATTTGCCATATATTTTTAATGTCAAGCTATTCTTTGATTCGCTTAACTAATTAGAATAACTGGCACAGCATTTATACAACCAAACCAAGTGCTCTCACCCATGTAATTTGGAGGTCACACACTCCTTCCTACCTCATGAAATTCTGAACAAATGAGGTGTGATAGTGCACACAAACCAAGTGTGGCGGCTGGGGATGGCTCAGTCAGCCCAGCGCCCGTTCTACAAGCAGGAGGACCTGACTTCAGATTGCCGGCACCCACATAAAAAGTAAACAAGCCAACAAAACTAGGCACGGGAGCTACATCTGTGACCTGGGTGGGTCAAGATGGGTGAATCCCTAGAGCTCACTGGCCAGCCAGCCAGCCAGCCAGTCTAACATAATCAGTGAGAGGTGTCTCAAAAAATGAGGTAGAAAGTGACTGAGGGCGATACCTAACATCATCTTCTGGCCTCCAAACACACACATATGCACTTATACACACACAAACATGCACTTACATACACACCACATACAGGCACGCATTTTTATTTTAGAAAAAAATTAAAGTCAAATATGTAACTAGTTCAAACTATCTTCTTTATTTTGAACCTTAGAATGTTCAGTTAAAATCGATACATCTCTGAACATTAAGCTACTACAAGATAGTCAATTTTCATTATCAGTTGACTGGAATCAGTTACCTAGGAAAACACACCTGTGAGCCTATCTGTGAAGGTGCTTTCAGAATGGCTTACCTGAGAGAAGACGCACCTTGAATGTGGCTGGCATCACCCCATCATGTATTAGGATCACGGGCTGAATAAGAAGGCAAAGGAGAAAGCAAACGGAGCAAGCAGTGTCTCCCTCTCTCCCTGCCTCCGGAGTTTGCACACAGTGTGACGCCTGTCAGAGCTAGAGCTAGTTTTACTGCTAAGCCTTGTCCAGCACGATGGACTTAAACTGTGAACTAAAATATACCTTTCTTTGCTAAAGTTGCTTCTATCAGGTACTTTGTTACAGCAGTACGAAAAACAATATGGCTACTGTACTTGCCTATCTGTCTAGGATGTGCTTGACAGTTATTTATGTATGTGCATTTCAGAGTTCTTTAACATGAGTCATTTCATTTGCTTCTTACAAAATCTCGATAGCTGGATAATATTCCCATTATGCAGACAATGCCTCATACTACCAAGGTGGCTAAATAACTCGGAGAAGGCCTAGGTATTAAAGTTACAAAAGACAGTGAAATTAAAAGTAAAGGACTCAAGCTACACTAAACTTAGAAATTAAGTCTGAATATTTATTATTTTTCATGTGGTAAGAGCCTCAAGCTTGAACCATGAAGACTGGATTTAATTATTATACTTTTATGTTTTCCATAGTTTTCTCCTGTAGTGTTCTTCTAGTCGAGCATAATAAGAATGCTCTAAATGTGTCTGGGAACTTCAAAAAGTTAGAAAACTACTTCATTATTGTTATTAGTCCAAAGCTTAATTGGAATTTCAGTCATTTGGTGAGAGTGGAATACAAATGTGTTAAAACTGTTTTCTTTAAGGTGTTGAGGGTGTGTGTATGTGTGTGTGTGTGTGTGTGTGTTTGATACTGAAAAAGAGAGAACAACCTAAAATTTTTGCTAGTCTGTTATAGTGGCAAAAACTTACTAAAATGTTATTATAGAATACAAATGAAGAAAAATTTGTCTATTTGAAAATTTCTGATATATACTAGTTTAAACTCTCTATGAAAATGAAAACACTGTAAGTTTTAAAAAGGGTAAACCAAAGATAAAACCTAAACAAAATACTAAAGCACTTTAAACAAAAAGGATAGCAAACACGGACACAAGTGAATACACAGAACTGAGCTCCAACACATTCACTAAAGCCTCCCGAGTGAGAGAGAAAAACCC